TTAGTATTTAGAGCAGTTAATTCATCCTGAAGTTGTTGACAAAGACTTCAAAGGGAACTATCATTTGAGCTAAGCTTCACTTCTCTATACAGAGATGCACTATGTAGAAAAGAATGGGAATAACAATTATAGGCAGAAAGAACAGCATTTAAAAAGGCAAGGAGGTTTTTGAGAATATGATATATTCAGAGCATGACTTAAAGTTTCACTGGAGAGAGTACAATATATATGTTAGTGGAGCTGACATTATTTATTCACAAACATATTTATCTAATTCATAAGCATTCTTGGCACTTCATCTATAAGCCGTTGTATAGGTCCTGGAGAACTAGAGATGAACAGTATGTAGTACCTGCCATCCAGGAGAGCTCATTCTCATAATGGAGACAGGAATATGTTTAAATTGACGTAGTGAGATAGGAGCTATAATAGAGAGATAGAATAGACAGAGAAATAGAATGAGATAGAAGCTATAATAACGTTTGTGAATGTGTTGAGTGTGTACATGCATGAGAGAGTGTGTGTGTATGTATGTATGTGTACATGTGTGCTTACTCAGAACATTCAGTCATGCATTACTGAATCTGAGGATGTGAGTTACAGACCTCCCTCATTCATGTGGATGTCCTCAAGACATTGAACTCAGGACAAGGCCTTATTCCAAGAGCTGGATCAGCCTTTAGTCCCCAAGTCTTGAAAGCACACACCACAGGACCTGAAATCTTCCTGGGTGTCTGGCAGGATTGGGTGCTGGGCCATTTTCTTTCTGGGGTCTTCTGGGGAGTCTTGAACAACCTGCTTAAGCATAAAGGTTCTTCACTCTACCTTTATTTTCATACCATTGATATAATATGAATAACTTCAGAGGCCTGTTGAGAGGAATAAAGACGTGAATACATTATAAAGTACTTAGAATGGCCTAGCATATGGTCAATGCTATTAGGAAATAGTACTATAGTAATTATTATTATTATCTTATTGTTTCCATGGATATCATAGACTATCTGTGTTAAATGGAATCATAAGTCTGCCTTGTCTAACCTCACATCAAGTACAGGAACTTTATCCCCTAAATCTTCTAATACTTGTACTTCTCTGTAAGGCAGCCCTCTCTACTTTCTCTTCAGCTGAATGTTAAAGAGTCTCTATACTGAACTAGAATCTGCCTTCTTGTGATGCCTACCAATGTTATTCTGGGATAAGAAGTTTTTTTCCCTTTTTTTCATTGCTTTTTAAATAAATAAGTATTTCTTGAGACTGCTCTATGCCATCACTAGAGTTAAAGAAGTAACACAGTTTATATTTTCAAGAAGCCTACTCTTTGAAGAAATATCCAAATATCCATTTACTTGTATTGTTCATTGTTAAGAGACAAACTAGATGATAAAAATCTTTTTATATCATTTTTTAAAGTAGAGAAAAATAATGAAGACTCAATAGTCAGGGAAGACTTTAGAGAAGAGCTGTGTTAAAGGGTAGTCACTTATACATTGATTTGTTCATTTAAAAAATATTTAAACCTTTGTTGACAATTGACTATATGCCTCATCTATCAGTAGGAGTTCACCAAGTATGAAGATGGTGGGGAAGGCAGTTCAGGTAGAGGAAAGATCAAGTACAAAACATAGAGATATTGAAGGTATGGCACAAAATTGTGTTAGGGAGTTATGAGTAGTTGAATATAAACAAAGCAAAGGTTTCAAGGAAGGTGAAATGGGTGATGATGCTGGAATCACAAGGCCATCACAGGCCTTGTGGGCCAAACTGAAATGTGAGGATAGAAAGTTGCTTAAAAGTTTTTTAGCAAGAGAGTACTATAAAATCAGGTTTTTCTGGAAGTAGAAGGTAAGGCTGTAAGTTGGATGGCAAGGGGAAAAGGAGAATGGAAAGATACTGTAGGGATTATGAATACAGGATTTTGAGCCACACTGGCCTAAGTTTAATACAGGATCTGCTGCTCACTGATCTTGTGACCTCAGAGAATCTTTTTTTTCCCTCTCGTGGCTTCAATTTTTTTTATCTGTGTAAAGGGGATAACAGCCCCAGCTCATAAGGTTATTGTGAGGATTAAATGATAATGCATATAAAACACTTAATACAATGGCTGAGACATAACAAACAAAATAAGAGAAAAATCAGAAGTATGTCCCAAATGAAGGAGACATTTTTTCCTCCCTAGTTTCAGCCCCCTTTGCTTTATTCTTTGCATTACTTGAAAGTCTTGAATTTTGCCTGCTGAGCCCTCCTCAAATAGATTTCTGTTTGTATCCTTAGGAAAGTCTAGACAATCTAAGCACTGAACAGCATCTCAGTTTCCCTGAATGATTGCCCCAGAGCCCATTAACTCTGCTTTGTCTGCTAATCAGGTTAGGCATCCGGGCTCACCCAGGAGAGGAGCTGGAACAGCTGCAGGCAGTAGATGGATTCTCCTGATAGCACATAATCAAATTCAGTGGAGACAGCAGGCATTCAGAGTCAAGTTGCAGAACTTGGCTGGAAGAGGGGAAAACTGTGGTGACAGAATTTAAAGCATATACCCTGGTTGGATATACTGGTAAATAAAGAGCTGAAAACAGCATCATAACCTGAGACCTTATGACTATAGGAACCGCTTGTGAATGAAGACATACTCATCCAGGGCTCTAAGAGACTCAAACTCAGACCTTCAAGTCAGGGCCTGAAGTGACTATCACAGACCATTGGCTGGAAACATTAAGGCCACTTTCACAGACATTATCCCCAAATACAAATCAGGAACCCTGAGACTCGCATATGCCGCCAGCCTGCCTCACTTTCCTGCATCTTCAATAACATCACAAATGTAGAGCATCATGTATTCTGTCCATACCCACATCCTTGCACTGGTCTGTTCTCTCTCTAATCTTGACTCTTCACTGCTTCCTTCCCTCTCCCTCTTCAGACCTCTTCATTTTCCACTTTTTACTCTGGAACACAGCTCCATGGTTAATAATCCCACTTCGATCCTCAGTCTTTAAGTTCACTTCTTCCTTTACCCCTTGTCTTAACCAAACTAGACTTGGTTAAAAGTCTATGATGCTTAAATATTTGCTGAGTAAAACAATGAACTGAGGCCTGACTCTCTTGGAGGACATTACCTCGCCCATTGCCCTCTCAAGAAATCCTCATTCTTCTACACTGCACGTACAGAAGGATCAGGAGGGGTCACTTTGCTCCTCACTCCTCATGCACCTTCCAAGCCATCATTTCTGTACCTCATCACTGATAACTCCAGAATTTAGGGTAGCAATCTAGTTAGAAGAAGGAGTGCCTATAAGATTTGTCTTAAAGATATATTTCCATTATAAGAAGACTGTTATTTATATATTTATTGGCAGTGGCTTTGGGAGTAGGAGGTAAATGGACTCTATTGGTGGGCCAAAGTGTACCTCTTAACAACCTTTGATACTACTGCTGACTTTTATGTGAAAGTTCTGTTTCTTTGTTGCTTAGACTGCATATCTATCATCCTGTCCTCCTCCTCAGCACTTTCAGTTTCTTACACATCTTAGACCCCATGGCCCATCATTTTAGTCACTTTTTCTAATATAATCAAATACCAGAATATTTAATTAAATTTAATATAATCAAATGTATGTACAGGCATCAATGCCATGTAACCACTGCTGTTCCATAGGAATCCCACAGCTACACCTCCCACCCTCGCCACTTAGCTTCAGAAAGACACTAAGGTAGAAACAAGATTCTGCAGCAAACACTAGTATGTTATAACGCTCTCTGTTCTGTTAACAATTTTCTCCAGGTTGTTCTTCCTGGAGCCGGCACCCTTCTTGTTCTTCTCAATTTCCCCTCCTATACCTTCCTCCTCACATTTTTCTTCATATGCCCCTGTAGTCTATGGCTTCTCAATTGAATGCCAAGCCAATACAGGTGAGCCTTACATCCTTCATCCACTGTATCTACACTCCCCAGGAGCATCCCTTCCTTTAAGGATCTTCCAAATCAACCTTGGTGGCTAAGACTTATTAAGCAATTGATAAAAAAAAAAAACAAGAGTTACACAAAATGTGGAACTGAACTGGCCTGGAATTTTCGATGTAGTATCATGGAAAGGGCACAGTTTGAGGTGAGTTTTGCAGGATAAGCAGTATTTGAAGTAATAGAAAGAGATATTCACTGCAGGGAAACATTATGAAGAGGTTGGATATCATAAATCATGACAGGGTAGAGTAACTCTTTAAAGTGGATAAACGCAAAGACATTATGGAAACTATGACTGCAACATTTTTGTTTCCTGTTTGCATCTCAGTGTTTAGCTTAGCAAAATTGCCCACACAGCGTATTTTAAAACACTATTTCCCAAAGTGCTTCTGTGGAAAATTAGTCTCATGGAATGCTCTGTAGAAAATAACAGTAATAATTTAGAGAAATGTTGAATATTTTTCCCTTCCTTGAATATATACAATGCATATGAGTTTATTTTAAAAGTTCTTAATTAGTCTTATAATTTAAAAAACCTGACTTCCCCGGGAAAAGTAGGCCTCTCCCATTCATATCTCTATAGCTTCACAGTCTTTATTTACCTTCAAGTCACTTTTAGAATCTGTAATTATATTGTCTACTTATTTTTAATATTTTATTGACCACTTCCCCACTATTCTCCATGAGGACAGAGATCTTGCTTGTCTTCTTTATTACTGTACATCAAGGCCTGGGCATGTGATGCCACATATGTTAGGTGCTCAAAATAAGGATAAACAAATGAAGAGAATGTATCTATTTTTGTTTAACTTTGCATTTTCCAAACAGTTGAGAAAGGGTAGCACTGAATTGTGAGCAAAGAGCTGCCAGATTCAGGTCTGTTTTAGACACTATGTGGTTTGTGTTGTCATTCTCCCAGCCCCATTACCTATGGTTCTTGATGTTACAGTTTTTCTACTAGGCATTGATTTATATGTGTTACCTTTTGAAGCTTGAACAGATGTCTCATATGCCCAAATTTCTTTGTTTATATATTTTAGGCAAAGGCTGCCACCCAAAAATGTTTACTACTACCGCTGCCCAGACCATAGGAAGAACTATGTGATGTCCTTTGCCTTTTGTTTTGACCGAGAAGAAGATATTTACCAGTTTGCTTACTGCTACCCATATACATACACTCGCTTCCAACATTACCTTGACAGCCTGCAAAAGAGAAACATGGATTACTTCTTTCGGGAGCAGCTGGGCCAGAGTGTGGTAAGGCCTGTGCCAGGTTTGGGTTACTCGTTTAGAAACAGGCAATCTTGGGATAGGGACTTAGCAGTGGGTTTTTATGGAATGCAAATAATGAATAGTGGTGCTTTCCAGAACTTTTTAATAATTTACTAACTACAATTAAACAATTACATAATTAGTATTAATTTAACAATTCTTTAAAGTATTGTTTTTATTGTGTGATTTATTGCGACTATGGGGCACCATAGTAAGATATGAGAAGAAGTCACAGAGTAAGATATGAGACAGATGGTTGTTTTTCTGAATGAAGCTGATAAAGCTCTCTAGCAAAATACAAAAGTTAGGTGAATCCCAAAACCTCTGAGAGAAAAGGAGACTTTTACTAGGTGTTACAAAAGGTATGAAAGCATTTTATTACTGTGAGCTTCTGATATGAAGAACACATTTCTTAGTGAACCAAACTTGCCTGTAGTACAGGTTAGCAAGTGGTGTGCAGTTTGGTTGTGATGGCCACAGTGTGCTCTGTCTCTGTCATCCATCAGTTTCCGACTCTTTTTTCCTGCTCCAGGTTTAGTTTCCTGGGTCTAGAGATTTCAGTTTCCCATTCCATAATAGTTCCCTATTGCTGATGTGACAAACTACCACAAACATGGTAGTATAAAACAACACAAAATTATTTTCTTATACTTCTGGGAGCTAGAAATACAAAATGAGTCTCACTGGGCTAAAGTCAAGGTATCAGCAGATTTATGTTTCTTTTGGAGGCTCTAGGGGAGAATTTATTTCCCTGCCTTTTCCAGCTTCTAGACGCTGCTTGCATTTCTTAGTTCGTAGTTCCCTTCCATCTTAAAAGCCATCAGTGGCTGGTTGAGTCTTTTTCATGCTGTATCACTTTGATATGAACTCTCTGTCACTTATAAGGATCTTTGTGCTTATAATGAATTTACCCAGATAAATCCAGGTTAATCTCCATATAGCAAGATCTTTAACTTAATTACATCTGTGAAGCCCCTTTTGTTATGTGAGGTAACATAGTCACAGGTTCTGGGGATTAGGAGTTAGACATCTTGTGTTGGGGAGTGGTGCATTATTTTGCCTACCACATCTTCCTACTTCCTTTTCTTTTCTTTGTTCTTCTTTTTTTTTTTTTTTTTGAGATGGAGACTCACTCTGTCACCCAGGCTGGAGCGCAGTGGAGAGATCTCGGCTCACAGCTCACTGCAACCTCCGCCTCCCAGGTTCAAGCAATTCTCCTGCCTCAGCCTCCCGAGTAGCTGGGATTACAGGCATGCGCCACCACACCCAGCTAATTTTTATATTTTTAGTACAGACAGAGTTTCACCATGTTGGCCAGGCTGATCTCGAACTCCTGACCTCAGGTGATCCACCTGCCTTGGCCTCCCAAAGTGCTGGGATTACAGGTGTGAGCCACCGCACGTGGCCTCTTCCTACTTCCCTCTCTTCCTCTTGTGCCCAAACTAGGATCTGAAGTTGTTCTCCATACTGAATTCATAGGTTTTACTCTTTGTTGTCAGCAATACTTTGGTTGCTGAATAAGAATAAGCAGGTGCTAATTTGGTTTTATGTTTTACTCTTCAAAAAGTGTGGATTGTGCCCCTAAAAGAGGCATATTGGATGGGCTCTAAACGTTCTAAATGAAGATACTGGTGAAATTGGCAGAAGATACGGTACTTGGGGTTCTGATATGTGTTGGTAGTTAAATGGACTCAGTCTAGTGACTGTGAGTTTCACATAAAAGTGAGACCTATTTCTAAATAAATCCAGGATACCTCAAAAAAGAGAGCAATAAAGAGGGCCTATGTGCAACTCAGGTACCTGAGAGACAAATCTGGTCATGTTATTCTTGTAGTCTGAGATTCTGCATGCACTATGATTTTCCTAAATATCTTTTCTGTATTCCAACCTTCTTCCCAACAGTGCTTCTCATGGTATCTTCCCATTTGTATCTGTTGCCTATATATTTTGAACTGAAAATTGGTATACATGATGTATGAGTCAGCATGCTAGCAGGAAACAGACGGCAGCCTCAAATTACGATAATTTAAGGAAGGTTTAATAAATGGGCTATTTACAAGGTGTGGGCAATGCATACAATGACAAGGTATAGTGAAATTCTCTAGGGCTAATAACAACTGAAATGGAATAAAGGGAAGGAATGGTTAACAGAACACAATAGTAGAGAGTCATTTAGTGGGTCATGTCGGAAAGAATTAGTGACCTTCAGTTAAGGTGCACAGTTAGCCTGAGATAACTCCATAGAGAGTGCTGAGAAAAATAAATATATAGACCTCATTCTCTTACTTATATCTGATCTTCTTCTAGGGGTCCATATTGGCCAACACAACCAGAATCCAGAGAACAAAGGAGCCCATTGATGTAATTCATACAGATCAGCCTCCTAGGGAAAATAAAAGGGTATAGATGGGTGGAGAGTAGATGTAGAGGAATATATAGAATACATTAAGTGCACCTGGTCCAATTAACAGTATATTACTGAACAGTGAGATTATTTGAGAAGGGATTGTCAGAAAAATTCTGAGATTAATATTTGCTAGACATATGAATTATGATATTTTTTAAGAGAATGGGAAGTTCATTCATTACTCATAACTTTTAAGGCAGGATCTGTACATTTCACTCCTGTGCCCACCCCAACCTTCTCTTAGATTTATGACAGCCAGAATGTAGGTGCACAATGAATGTTTATTGAGTGAATGATTGAAACAATGAGAAAATGAATTAAGAACATGTCTGGAAGCAGTGTGAAAAGCTGAGAACAACAGAAAGCTAATAAGAAAAACAATAGGATCAGTTAAGCTTTCAATAATAAATATTCAAAATAACATATATAAAATAACAACAACTTAAACAAGATAGACATTTATTTCTTTTCAATGTAAAAGTCTAAATGCAGGCAATCCACAACTAATTTTGTGGCTCTACTCCTTGAAAGCCTCAAAGAGTCAGGTTCTTTCAGCTTTCTTCTCTGTCATCCTTGGAATGTGGCCCTCAACCTCATGATTCAATATGGAATTCTACCGTGATATCTGTAGTCCATGCAGCAGGATGAAGGGGATGGTGGAGAAAGAAGAAGCAGTTTTGTGGCATTGTCATTTACTAGAACTCATTCACATTTAACTAAAGGAAGGACAAGAAATGAAGTCTTTGTTCTGAGTAGCCCAGTTTTAGCTAAAAATTGGTGGTCCTCTATGTGGGAGAATTGACATTGAGGGATAGCTTAAAGTCTCTGCCACAGGAAATCTGAATTCTGCTTTCAGCTCTAACATGAAACTACCTTGAATTCTATGTTCCCTTTCTGGGATAATTTTTTCACCTATAAAGTGAGAAAATTGGACTTGAATAGAAGTTTTCAGATTATCCTTGAGGAATTCCTCAGTTGGAAAAAGTAATAGTTTGAAACTCCTGTCCTACTTCAGAGCCTGTGAGAGATACTGTGGAGATATATAACAAGGTATACATACAAGTCTTCGTATACTTCCAGGAGCATATTCTGTGCCGGGGAGAAAGGGCATGTCCAAATAGCTCTGATACTTTAAAAAATATATAATTAAGGATATAATGAGTTGTTTAAGGAGTTAACAATAAAAATAAATGTCATGGAGAATGTCTTTAAAAGCTAAAGATTTTGTTTTAAGCCATCTTGAAAGATGGGTAGGATTACAGAATACAGAGTTGATAATAAGGTAGCCCAGAAAGGCAGAAAAGCCAAAGCCATTGCCTGGTGGTGGTAGTTTGTTAGAAGTCTGGTTTGATTGGAATAGGGAATTTATGGGGCTACTGGAAGATAAGGCTAGACAAGAAGATTCAGGCAAAACTCTGGAAAGCCCTGATTTTCATATTGGCTACATCCTTTATTCAGATTCTACACAACACACCTACTGGGTTTTTTACTTTATATAGACCATTTGATTTTTTCTCACAATAGTTTTATAGAGTAGGCAGAACTGTCCCAGTTTGGGGATAAATAATCTGAGGATAAAAAGATAAGTTTCTTCGTTAAGGCCACATGACTAGTTCATATCAGGGCCAAGATTTAAACCTTCTAACACCACGTCCTAGCCCTTTGATGGACATTTTAACACCCAAAAAGATTTTTGAGAAAGGGATTTACCTTATCCAAAGCAGCATTTTAAGAAAGTACATTTAATGGAAATACGGGGTGTACCTGTGCCATCTGGACTAGATCAAGGAAGCTCTGTGGGTTGGCTCAATCCTGTGTTCTGGGCCTTGATGCAGATACTAGAGATTTTAAGGCTTTCTGGCATACTTTTGCAGACAGGATGATTCTCAGTTACCAGGGTATTTGATATGGCTTGTGTCTGAAGGCATCACTGTAATTAGTTAATCCTTATTCCAATTCGGAGGGAGGGTAATTACAAGTGGGAAGGCTAAACATGCCAGCATCCAGATCTTAGGGAGACCAGGCAGGAAGGAAGATTTTGAATTTTCAGTGCTAGAACTATTAATCACTATGGTCATAGCTGTCACTGGTACTAATTATATCATCCAAGAATATATTTTATTTTGTTACCAGTAACCCCTTTGAAACCTACTGAACAAAACGCCTTTGAACATGTATTTAAAACCGTGATCTGCCATTTAAGATAAGGACATCATGAGAAAGATATTTTTATTATTTTTTAATAGCTTTATTGAGGTATAACTTGCAGTGTATAAAATTCATGCATTGTAAGGGTATAATTTTATGATGTTTAGTATCTTATGATTTCTATAGAGTTGTGTGTCTATTACCACAATCTGATTTTAGAACATTTCCATCATCTCAAAAAGTTCCCTTGTTAATTCTCACATCCAGTCCCAGCCACAGGTAACTACCGATCTGCTGACACTATAAATTTGCCATTTCTGAACATTTCATATAAACAGAATTAGAGCATATGTAGTCATCTCATGCATCTTGCATTTTTCACTTAACACTGTAATATGGATGGACCTCAAAAATATTATAGCAAGTATCA